GGGCGAGTGCGCCTGCAGCGCGGCGCTGGGCGGCCGGTGGCGCGCGCTCTTCTGGTGGGCGCGCAGGCCGGCCAGCTGCGAGTAGGCGCTCTGGCACACCTGGCACTTGTAGGGGCGCTCGCCCGTGTGCAGGCGCACGTGGTTGCGCAGCGTGGACGACTGGCTGAAGCGGCGGTTGCAGAAGCGGCACACGAAGGGCTTGTCCAGCGTGTGGATGCGCATGTGCGAGCGCAGGTTGCTGCGCGAGTTGAAGCCGCGGTGGCAGATGACGCAGCGCATGCGGCCCGCGGTGCCCGCCGCCGAGTCCGCGGGGTGGAAGTCCTCTGGCCGCGCGGGCGGGGCCCGGGGGGGGGGCAGGCGGGGAGAGGGGGAGAGAGAGCAGCCTCGTTACGACCCCGCGCCGCCGCCGGGGCCCGGCCCGCCCAGCCCGCCTCGGATCGACGGGGGTGGGGGGTGCGGGTCTGAGCAGACGGGTTGGCGGCGCTGCCAGAGGGATGAGAGAGGCATCGAGGAAGCTGGCTTGGGGTCAAATAGGAGCTGGACTCCAGACCGTGCTGTGAGACCTCAGGGACTTAGTGACTTCGCCTCCAAACCTCAACGTCCTCATCTGTAAAATGGGGACCTACTACGACCTCACGGGGCTGTGCAGAACATCACGAGGCTGTGCAGAACATCACGAGGTGATCATAAAAAGCTGCACTTTACCTCCCTTAGCCTGTATACGAGAAGTACCTGACTCAAAGTAGCCTTCTGTAAATGGTAGCCTTCCATAAAAGGCTCCCCACCCCCCAAAAAAAATCCTTTCATTTATTCATCCCACAAATATTTACTGAGTGCCCTACTATGTACCCGGGAACTGAGCCTCACCTTTCTCATTGCTGAGGTGGAGATAATAATAGCATCACCCCCATAAGCCTGCTTCTTGTAAGAATCAGAGAAAGTACTGTTTGTGAAACATTAGCTGCAGGGCAAGGGCTGGATAAACAGTAGTTCATGAGCCTCAGGTTCTTCCTCGAACCAAATTTCACAAGGGTTTTATGAGGACCCAAGTGGGGTGATAGCTGTAAAAGGTTTAGTGCAATACTTGCCATGAAATAGGTCTTGAGCAAACAGTGTGTATTGTGTTGACCAGTGTCCCCCACAACACACACACACGAGTACACTCCACCCCACCTTCATTCAACAGGTTAATACCAAGCACCTCCACCAGGGACAGAGGGAAATGTACATTGTCAGAGCTGGAAGGGGGTTTAAAAATCATCTGGCCCAACCTCTTGCCTTTACAGATGGAGAAACTGAGGCACAGAGCCCTTCCCAAGATTGTACAGCAGAACTGGAACTCAATCCAGGCTCCTGCTGCCCGGCCCCTTGCTCCTTCTGCTCCACCCTCTGCCTCTCTGGTATCCTGCGCACCCCCCCCAACCCAGCCTGCCCCCAGACAATTTATTTTGTCCAGAAAACAGTGCCATTCGTGTCCGGACTGTGGTGATGGCTCTGAGGGCATTGGCCTGCTTGAGCCAGTAGCCTCATGGGCTCGATACTGCTGGAGATTGAACCCGGGTCCCTGGAGACCAGTAACCTCCCTGCCACACACCGGTGCACACAGGCACACTCTCACTCTCTCATTCTGGGTTCCAGGGGTCCCTTGTCATTGTGGCCTCACGGAGACTACCTACCATGCTTGTTCTTCTTCTGCTCCTCCTCTAGCCCAGGCACACCAGGGATCCCCAGGAAGGTGTTGTGTGAGTTTCCATACCACACCAGCAGCTCCTGGTCAGGAGGGATCATCTACAGGGGAGAAAGCAAGATGAGATCAGGGAGGCAGCAGTCCCCAGGGGTGGGAATCAGGGTCTCCGCACGTCCCCCTGCAGCCAGGAGGAAGCTGTCCTGCACCTGCCATGGAGACGGGAGTCCAGTCTCAGCCCAGAGAAAGCCACACCAGCCATCGCTAGCAAGCTGCATAAACACAGAAGGCCCTGGGTTGCTCTGCCCCCACCCCCTCTTTCCCCCTCCCAGGCCAGGCCTTCTCGCTGTTTCTGTCCTAGCTCTGGGGCTGGGAACAGAGCAGCCGCCCAGCCATGTAAGAGTTCCCAGACTGATAGCAACAGAATGGAAGGCTTACAGCAAGCTGACTAACAGAAGAAGGAAAGCTAGAAAACTTTTCCTTTCTTACTGAGGGGAACCAGAATCAGCCAGCCCTCCGGTCTGCAGGGCTGAGCCAAGGATCGTGGGCTGCAGGGCACCCTATGGCACTTGGTTACATCCTCTCTGATAATGTTCTGGAAACATCTCTCACGCAAAACGCCCACAAGGCAGCACCACGCCACATGTACCTCTCTCCCGATCACGGGCTGTGTGACTCCATGCACACGGCAAATGCTAAAAAAGAAGCATTCGGATTGAGGAACCCCTCCACCTCAGGAAATACTGGGGCACACAGCCTGAAACAAAATCCATTTCTACAGGAGAGAACTCCACAGACGGTGACAGTTCTCTGCTAATCGCAGGGGAGGACCTGCACCAGGGAAATGGTGAAGGCCACGGGGAGGAAGGGGTTTGCAATGACAGCCCCGGGAGGCTGTGGAAGGCACTGTGGTGGCACTGACCATAAACCCCACACTCCAGGATGTCCCAAGGGGCCCGCAGGTCTTTGGCGAAAGCCAGTTAGCCCTCCCAAGTGGGGAACCTTCAGGCCCCAGCCAGCTAAGACAAATGAGAAAGATGGGGTGCCTCGGCGGGCTCAGTTGGTGGAGCATGCGACTGTTGATCTTGGGGTTGTGAGTTCAAGCCCCATGCTGGGTGTAGAGATGATGTAAAAATAAAATCTTGAAAAAAAAAAGACAGTTGAAAGAGGGGACAAGCCTGCACCCCATAGAGCTGGCTTTGGCATCTATCCTGGGGGTCATTCTCTGAGCTTCCCAGAGAAAGCTGGACACACCCAGGCAGCAACCGGTTTGTTTTCCTAATGGGTCCTCAACCGCCTCAAAGGAGTTGAAGCACCAAATATTCCATCTCGGGGTATCTGAAATCATGCAAGAATAGGACCCCCTCTTTTGGGCCCCCTGGTTACAGAGAAGGCCCCAGCCCTTCCATTTGACTCTGGCCTGCAGACCCCTGCCACATGCAGGATGCTTCTGTACCACAGCTTCCTTCCTCTGGTCAAAGCCAGGAAGACCCTCAGACCCTCACAGCCAGCTCTGCTTGACCCTGAAAGGACAGGGGCGGGGGGGGGGTGGGCAAAGGAAGGAAAGTTTGAGGGGGCCTAGTCACTGCCCTCCTCCTGAGACTCAGCCTGGGGCCACCGTGTGCCTGCCCCCACGGCCCGTGGGGCATCACCTCAAGCCCTCAGGGTCAGTGAGTGACTGGAAGCCAGGCAGAGGGTACCAGCTCGGAGGTACAGGGTTCGAATATGGAAGAAATAAGTACAGTCCCGGAACCCGAGGAAAATCAGGTGGTGCCTCAAAGAAAGCAGACAGGTTAGAATCTGGCACCACAGAAGTCCTCGAGGCCATTCACAGTCATGGCCGTTGTCCCGGGGGTCAGCGGGACAGAGCTGGAGGCCCTGCTGGAAAGGGGACGGAGAAGACAGAAGGAGGAGGACGGAAGGAAAATATTTAAGATCAACTCGTTGCGAAGGATGCTCTCTGTGTGAGGATGCAGATGGACCCTCGGCCACCGGGCGCCTGGGTGACCTGAGGCAAGCACTTATCCTCTCTAAGCTTGTCTCCTCAAGTGAGGGGGTGGGGGAACCTCCCTGAGGTCCCCCAACTCTGAGAATCTGATTGTAAGTCACCTCTGACCCTGTCCTGACCCCTGGCTTCAATTTTCACAATCAGCGTTCTTCTAAAGCAGCCAGTCCCCCATCAGACTTGTCTGAACTGGACAGAGTGCTGGCAGAGGTCACCCATGTCAGGGTCCACCTGGGCTCCCCACCTGCTGAGCCTGTGACCTTGGGCAAGTTGCCTTCTGGCGCTGGGCCTCGGTTTCCCAGACTGTAAAACAGGGACGGCCTCTCTGCTCAGGCCTCATGGGGCCAGGCCTCCGCGAGCCGTGGGCAGAAAACTTTGCAGGGAGGTTGGATGCAGGAGCGAGTGTTATGATTTTCCCTGAGCTCACCAACGTCTCAGGAAGCTGGCAGCGCTCTCTGGGGCATCGAGGCCCACAGTGGTCCCCACAGAGCCTGCAGTGTGGCATGGGGCCATGGGCACAGTTAAAACCCAGGGTGACAAACTGTGGAAAGAGCCAAGATGTCCATCGACAGATGAATGGATAAAGAAGATGTGGTATATATATACAATGGAATATTATGCAGCCATCAA